TGTTTTGTTTCATGAGACTATACTGTGTCATTCATAATGTTTAACTGTAAGTTCTCTTCTGTTTTCTTGCAGTATAAATATGAACAACAGCTGACTTAGAGCTACAATATAGTATATCCTAGACAAAGAAGTAACCATTGATACAGCTATAAATGCCAAAACAAATACTATCAGCAGCTATCCTTAATGTCAGCTCTTTCTATAGATTTTTATATACATTTTTAAGCATTCTTTATTTTACAGAAAGGGGGAAAATTGAACAGAACTCTGGTTTTCATCGGGTCAAGAAGTTCAAACAGTTATGCTAAAAATAAATATCTGAGGGGTAAAATTCTTCTCATATATTTCTAAACAATAATCCAAGACAAAAGAAATACGAAATTATTATGAACTTATAATGAAGCAGTCATTTAAGTTACTAACAAAACTGAAGAAACCTTGTTAGTGAGGCTTCTCCACCTTGGAATTAAAACAGATTCCAAACTACATAGTCTAAAATTGGATAAGGGAAATAACTTTAGAATCAAATCTAAGCTATTGAAAAATTGGTGAGACAGAATAAGATGCAGAAGGCAGAGTTGCCAGGCTCCTAGACAGAGAAAGGTTTTGAATTAACAGCAGTACTCTTCAAAAAAGATATAGTACAGCAAAACTCAGGGGAAACAGCAAACAATGTTGGAGAATATTATTTTTTAAAATCTGACAAATAAACATAGAGAAACCTTATCCCATTACAAAGAACACAGTGGATACTGTTATCTAAAATCCAAAGAAGGCAACAGCCTCAGAGGTTTCATAAATCAATTGTATCAGGATCTAAAAAGAGCTATACTTCTTTAAAGGGGCATTTAAATCAGATCACAGACAGAATCACAGAATCATAGAATGGCTTGGGTTGGAAGGGACCTCAAGGACCATCAAGTTCCAACCCCCCTGCCACAGGCAAGGTCCCAGATCAGGCACTAGACCAGGATGCCCAGGGCCCCATCCAGCCTGGCCTCGAACACTTTCAGGGACGGGGCATCCACGACCTCTCTGGGCAGCCTGTGCCAGCACCTCACCACTTTCTCTGTAAAGAACTTCCCCGTGACATCCAAACTAAACCTTTCCTCCTTGAGCCTAAAACCCCGTTGTCCTATAACTATCTGCCCATGTAAAAAGTTGATTCTCTTCCTTTTTATAATCCTCTTAAGTACTGGAAGGCTGCAAGAAGAGACAAACCTCTCATTTGGAAGACATTAAGAAGTAGATACGGTTCTCACAAAAGACAGAATGGAGCCACTGCCTAGTAAGTCTATTTCATAAAAAAACATTGATCCAGGTTTGAAACACACCGCAGCAAAGGTGGACGTTAGTCCCTCTAGATACATACACCCTTTTAGACCATGCTGTTGTGATCAGCTCAAAGAGCAACCACCTAGTTATTTACTACCTCTTGTGGCAGACAAAACCTTTCTGTCCTAACACAATGTGAACATGAATATACCGTATTTAAAATGAGGCCTTAGCAAGGAGTCTGTGCATTTCTCTTTCAAATAAAGATGTTGGGGTTTCTGACAAAGACACGTTCCTCATGTTAGCTTACATTCATAGCGAAAACCTAAATCAGAATCCTTCATTATTGTGATATTTCTGTTCCAACAAACTCAGCAATTAGTAAGAGAAAGAGGTCTCAGGCAAGTACAGCTGCTCTGTAAAAACATCCTAAAACCTCAAGGAACAGCTCCCTTAGTACAGCTGCATGTCATGCAGCTTAACTGAAGCAGGTGTGGACTAACAGAGAAGGAAGAACAATACAGGAAAAATTTCTCAGAGATCGATGATTCAGCTGAACCAAACAAATGTCTAAATATTCTGGCTACCTATAGAACCTCCAAAAATATAATATATTCTCATGGTGTTGTTTTCACCACTCTTAGTGAAAATACAGAATGCTTCTGAAAATCTGTCAAACATTTTAATGGATGTGAGAACAGATCTTCCACAGTTCTGTGAGTTTTTTCTAGAAAGGAACATGAAATAGTCTGCAGAGTCCCAGGTGGGACTGATCCAGCACACACTTGGCCAGTACTCATCATACTGCATGGGCTTTAGAGAATAATTAATGCAGTGCTGGACAATACAGCAACACACCTTAAGATCTTACCATTTCCCTACTTGATCCCTTCAAAGCATCTCATTCTGCAAGAAGGAAAAAATAGTATCTTTCTCATAAGTAGTGCCAAAATGTGCAGTCATGGAAGAAATAATGCCTCCTAATCACTCAAGACATGAAATATCAATATACTGAACACTGTCGGTGATGGATTTCATATTATCAGAAATGGAGAGTTAAAAGATGGTCAGACTCAGTTACCTCAATACAGCAATCTTACTTTGCAAAGGCAACAAAGATCTGCAACAAATAAACCAAGATTCCCGGCCTAGATTACAAATCAATTAATTTAAACATTAATACTTTCTTTCTTAAGTATTATCTATATTAATATGACACATCATTACTATCTAATAACAGATCTCTTTAATAAGCTAATACAATTGCATAATGTTTCCTTTGAAAGATTCTATCACATCAACATCATCTAATTGCCACATACTAATTTTTAACAGCATAAAGGAGTTTTTTGTTTTGAAAACCATAAGTTCTGTAATACAAAGTGTCTTGCGAATTGATATAAATTCACAAAGAACTGAAATAATGAATTAGCATTATTAGATGTACAAGACTGAAGATATGTACAAGATAGATATGCTTTCTTCTAGGAGTAGTTGAATCTTAATACAGTCAGTGCAGTATCTTAGAAAACTGACACATCAAGATTGAAAAATCAGATTGCTGCAATCAACTGAAGGGATACTGAAGGCACAAGTATTTTCAGAAGGTCCTCCTCACCAAAAATAAGCACAAGCATTACCCACAAAACTTCCTTCCAGCCAATACCTATCACACTACCATTCCCCTACACTCACCTCCCTCCTTCACTTTGCAAAAACAACAGAAGCCCCACTGTTTTCACTGTACGCTGACATTCACTCAAGTCAAAAATCGAACACCAGACTCTCAGCAACACCATTACTATACTTTGTAAAAACTGCCTAGTAGCATTTTCCAACAAACTTCTATTTTTCTTGCATTCTATGTCACTTATCCGCTAGCATTTTGCTTTTTCTCCTACAAAAGATCTGAAGTAGGGAAACTAATCCCACTTCTGCCTTTCCTACAAGACATATTTTACTACAAAACCAAGGCTGAGAAATTTCAAAAGAAGATATAAAAACTATGATGGCAAATTCATCCAATTTACTATATGGAATTGTGTGCCTCCTGATGTGTCCCTGTTTTGGCTGGGATAGAGTTAACTTTCTTCAAAGCAGCTTTCATGGTGTTGTTTTGGATATATGATGAAAATAGTGTTGAACACACACCAACCTTTCAGTTGATGCTCAGCACTGCTTACACAGTGCCAAAGTCTTTTCTGCTTCTTGTGATGCCCTTCCAGGCAGGCTGGGGGTACACAAGGAGCTGGGAGGGTACAGCTCATCTCAACTGGCCAAAGGGATATTCTATACCACACAACAATAAGAGCTAGAGTAAAGAAGGAGGAAGGGGAGGATGCTCAGGATGACTGTCTTACCAAGAGACCATTATGAGTGATTAGTTCTGCTCCCTTGGAAATGGCCTGACATTTGCCTGTCAGTGGAAAGCAGAAAATGAATTCTTTTGCTTGTGCACATGGCTTTTGCTTTACCTGTTAAGCTGTTCTTATCTCAGCCCAGAAGATATAACAATGCTTTTCCTTTCTTCCCTGCCCTATTGGTGGGAAGTTAGCGATGCATGGTGCCTAGATGCCTACTAAAACCACAACAGGATGTGTCTGAGATTTAAAGGACACATAACTTAAGTACACTACTGGTGACAGGGTATTGAGTTAGAAACCATTTACAGTGCCTTCAGTGATAAGCTGTCCAAGCAAACTCGTTCAGATTACAAAAGGAAAGGACTCCCTTTCAGTTACCCATCTCCTGCATTCAGATAAAAATCCAGAGATAAGAAGAGGATCGCCTTCCAGAACCTTCATATTTTTGCTTATGAAGTAGAATGTTTCCACAAAAACAGAGAGTGATGGTTAGTTTAGAAGTATGTTCTGCCTACTCATAACTCCAAACCCTTTCAAGTGTACAACCTCTCACCCAGCTTGTCATCTAATTGACAGAAAATAAAGAGTTACCCAAAATAAGGGACAAAGAGATAAAGTAGTACAAAAAACTTCCAAATACTTTCCACGCCTGCTAGAAGTAATAAGCTATTCTATCCAGTCAATTAAATAAACAAACAAACAAATTTATATTTGGCACACTTAAAACTGAAACCTGAAATCTAAATTTCTCGTGGGGATTTCAGAGGAGGGAAGGGAAACAGATCCAAAAAGCAACTAATGGAAACCCCTTCCATTAGCTTCACTTACAGCTAATGCACTGTTGGCTAATGCTCGTAGATTCCCTTTTTTTAAAATCTATTTTAAAATAATTCTGATCAAGACTAGGTTCAGTCTCTTTAGAAAATCAACGTACACTTTGCTACTAATCAAACCTTGACAAAAATTACAAAACAGCTGATACTGCATCACATTTACTGTTCTGACAATAAAAATGCAGATTTAGGTTTAGTTTTCTGAAAGTGAGCAAACAGTTAATATTACATTCTCCTAACATTTGGAGAATCTACTTATGTTACTTAGAAAGAACTTAACAAATTAATGTGATTTAAATTAATTCCTTTTGTGCAGAGACAGCAAGACACGCATTTTTTCCCATTAAATTCTGCCACATGTCACAAAAATACAGTAACACATTCTTTCTTTAGAACTGAAAGAGTAAAAATAGATTTTTCTTCAGCTGAGGTCTGACTGAAACTTTGTCCTTGAACATAAGCACGACTGGATAACTTGGGAAAGAATTACTGGTAAAAATCAAACAACCATCAACTGTGAACATCTTACCTTTAAATAGGATCCATAATATTTAGTTACATAGGGACTGTCACACTGACTCAGCACTGTGATTTCCTGTTGGATGTCTTCTATTTCATCTTCTGCTTCTTCTAGGTCAATGATTTTTATAGCAACCACTTTCTGAGTCCGATTGTCAATTCCTTTAAAAACTTCACCAAAAGAGCCCTTACCAATTTTCTCCAGTTTTGTAAACAGTTCTTCTGGATCTGCTTTCAGAGTCTGTTAAAAATAAGAGAAAAGTTACTCAGTATTTGTAACATTAAAATGAAATCTGGCATTTTCAAAGGCTGCACACCCTTCAAATTGCACAGAGTCCTATTTATCCAGCTACACTTTTTCTATCTCTATATTTAATGTGTTCTTCCTACCTCCCCTACGTGCACATATTGCAACATTTATGTTTCCCTGTATATAAAGTACAAATTTATCACAGTCCCTGTAACCAGGATTTCTCCTGTCCAGCATGAGAAAATGCTATTGCCTCCATTCATTTTACTTGGCCAATAAATTGCACCTAGGCACTGAGAATGAAAAACCTTCACAAAGATCTGGTTTCTATTAAAATTAACATGGATCAAATATAAAAATAATGTGGATTGTTTATTTATCTATTTATTTTGCTGTTCCTTGCTCTTTAAATTGATTCTTTCCCAAAATGCTGTCTTACTCCTTTGAATTTTTCACATACCTCATCCTATACAGATTTTGTTCTCACTCTTCAGTGCACTGACTACTACTTATTGCCTGATGTGGCAAGCAATTCTCTTTAACTGTCTTCTACTAAAGACCACCTGCACAAACTGCCATACTTCCTTCATACTCCTGCCTCCAAGTTCTTCCTGGAACAGGATTTCTTTTTCTTCTTCTCTCAGTTGGGTGAGGTCATTCACTCCTTGAAAAAAAAGCTGCCTTAATTTGAACAGCCAAGTGAAAACTGAGTGCACGCCTGAACATGTCACCTTAAAAAAGAATGCAAGATCTACGTGAATTATTTTGCTATAGTTATTTTTTTTCTTCACTGCCAACTATTCAGCTCACTATTGCTGCTTTTCAACTTCACACTTGCAGTGTGCAGATGCTGAGTCCAAGTGTGCACCTTTTTCATCTGACAGCAAGGTGTCTTTACAGCTAAACAAAATATATGTTACAACTAATTGGAAGAGTTGTAGCTAGAGGGAATAGGCATGATGGGAAGAAACAGAATGGCATTACTTAGAACCTTAAGAAATAAATCAAACACCTGAAAAGATGCGTTAATGTTCTTAAAAGGATGAGTTTATATCAACTGAGGTGAAAATACATCGTTGGTATAGAAAAAGATTCATATGAGAAAAAAGATCAGTAATTGCAGAACAGTAATGGGGCAGTAAAAGTTTCTAAGTTATCACAGACAAGCACTTGGACAACACATCCTCTTCAGCTATTAAATTTAGCTTATGAAGCACCTCCCAGCTATACTTAACGTCTACTTCTACTGGTATCTCAAAGGTTGCATAATTGATTCTTGCAACCCAAAGAAAGAAATCACCAAGATGTTTTAGTTCATGTAAAGCTATAAATCACACAAGTTTAACATCTGAATAAGGTCTTTTGAGGACCAGAGAGCTGTGACTGTTTGAGTCCAGAGATAAAGCAGGGAGCGTGTTTGTGGAGCAGCCTGAATTCTATCTCTAGGTGTTAAAAAATATAACTATTCTACAATGTCTAATACTTAAAGTAAGCTACGAGACATCATTGTTTTCAGAAGATGATTCCAGGAACAGATGGCCAGTGAGATCATTCCCACAAAAGACACTTATCAATGCATGCTGTGAGACTTCAGCGGCCCCAAGAAGTTCCCCCCAAGCATCTTTGTGACCTTTCTATCAAAGTCAGCTTAAGGAAACAAACAGAAGTATGTGGGCTTTTGTGACCCAACAGAACTATATATCCAACTGAAACGAGCTTGAATTCCAACGTAATGAGAATTACATACTATTGTATCCTACATACATAATATACTAATCTATCTCCCACCTGGAAACCAAACCAGAGCACATCACAATCTCCAGTACATGTAGTTACCAGCTAGCCCCATAGTGACAATCTACCAGCACTTCCACCTTCAAAAAAATCACAAAACTTAGCACTAAATCAATTAGTACTGAAGTGGTTCTCCTCACGTGCCACAGAATGCTCCTTTACCATTATTCAGAACAGACATGTCTCTGAATAAATCATTTATACAAAAATTCCAGTACTTGAATCAAATATCCAGTACTTGAATCAAATATTTTCTCTTTTGGAAAACAATTCTTGGTCTGTCTTTTCATCTATACTGTGTTAAGACTTGAGTTGACATGGACATGGGGATCTCTGCACGCTCAGTTCATCCACATAACCCAAGTGCCTGGTGAAAAGATTTATTACTAAAAACCCTTTTCCTTCCCAAATCAGAACTTTTGTAAACACACATCTTAATTTTAAAACTTAATTTTAAATCTTAATTTTAAAACTTAAAAGTTACCGCTCCTGAACTTTGCTCTGAGCCATGGGAGGCAGCAGCTGTGCAAAGAAATCTCTTTATCTCTTCTGTGAGAAGGTCCAAATTTTCTTCCCAGGAGATCAAGTGCTTGAAGTCAGAGCTGTAATCTACTGGCGGTTTGTCTGCATGGAAAACTACCCGTTGGTCTCTCTTTAATAATCTGCTCTATTTCAGAAATGGACAGATCAGGCCTCCAGATACATGATGAGCTGCTTGAATTTGCAATTACACGAGTGGCCAATTCCCATTCATTTCCCCAAGATAACATCTGGGACGGATTCTTGCCAATTTTTGTTTTTGTTTCTGCAAAGACTTCCAACACAGCCAAAATATACAAAATAGCTTTACAAATAGTCTCTCCATATGACTGAATAGAAATGCTTTCCATAGATTCAGTCAGTTCTTTTTGCTGACTCTGCTCCAGAAGTTTCTGCATTGCATTTTTCTAATAATGTTATAATGCAAAATGAAGGGAACCAATCTAAGAACCTCAACACAACTGAGCAGACTGAATATTGTGAGAAACCACAGAACACGACTGCAACATCTGCTCCAAAAGAATAAAGTTAGTCATCTAGTTTGGCAAGAAGCTAAGCACTCTGCCACTACAACATTTCTTTCAAAGTAGGCCACAGGATCCATCCTGCAGTAGAACAAAAAAAATAAGGATCACTTACATCTAATGATTACATCTAATGAAAATCCAGTGCCCATATGTTACATAGGGCAGTGTGTTAGATGGCTTCTCACACTCCTAAACACCAATCACAAGAATCTCTCTCTTGGATTGCTCGAAGTCCTTTATAAGCAGAGCCATCATTCTCCCAGTGATAAGTAACTTCTCTGTGCACTGTTCCACATTGTTTTCATTACTCCTGACCTTAATCAGCCAAGGCAATATACTGCCCATAAAATGAACTCCTCTCAATACTCCACTCAGTCATCAGTGTTGCCCACTTCTACAGAAAGAAAAGACAGTACAAAATATTCTGAGATCATATTTGTTCAACTTGGCCTCATGCCTTGCACTCAGCTGTATCCAACCTATTGGAAAGGTTCTTTATAATAATTCACACTTACTGTACCTAACACTTCACACTATTTTGTTCAGTAATTCAAATCCTCAGGGTCACAGTTCTTCAGCAATGGCCTAACCCTCTTAAGTATAACGGTTGCCCTTCAATATTGTATCATCAACATATTTTACCTGTGTGTAAACCTCTTCTTTTTACAATGCTAGAGTCAATTCTCAGTCACCAACAACAGAGATTTGGAGAAACCTGCAGTTTCTCCACTGACATCACCTGTCTAGTACTTCCATCATAGTCAGCAATATACACAACTCACGATATATTTAAGAGCCTCAAATTCTCATCTGAACAAACTATTTCTGTAGTCCAACAGAAAAGGTTACCAAAATTCAAATTTCTTAAATCATATACACACTTCTAACTTTATTCATAACCATTCTGACCTTAGACAAAGCTTTAACAGAGTCCCTTTCTGATAGCAGCCTTTCAGCACCTAAGGGGGCTATAAGAAGGAAGGGGCAGACTCTTTAGCAGGGTATGTTGTGATAGGACAAGGGGAAACAGTTTCAAACTAAAAGAGGGGAGACGTAGACTGGATATAAGGACTTTTTTCTCAAAAAGGGTGGTAGTTGGCCAGAGAGATGGTGGATGCTCCATCCCTGGAGACATTGAAGGTCAGGCCGGACAGGGCTCTGAGCAACCTGACCTAGCTGTAAATGTCCCTGTTCATTGCAAGGGAGTGGGACAAGATGACCTTTAAGGGTCCCTTCTAACTCTAAGCATTCTACAGTTCTATAATTTCCTTCCAATTCTCATTTCTAATCTCCTTTTATGGGGGCTTACTTACCCGGTTATGACATAAATGGGATGAACAAAACTATTTTTCTCTTTAACCTGCAAGAATCCCAAGCCATCTCCACGTTCAAGTTCTCTAATTATTTGAGTAACTGATTTCAATTGCAGATCTGACTTCTCTATACCCGCTCTTTTGAAACAGACAATGATCTTTCAATTCCTCTTCTGCATACTTTTCATTTTACTAAGCCAACTTCCAATTCGTCTGTCCAATCTTCACTCCCTATTGAACCCAAGCCCAAAATACCTCCTCTGCTACCACATTTGGAGATAAAAACAGTATGTTTTGAGCCTTGTTTATATAAATGCAGATAAACCTGGACAGACACTGTAATATGATGTTGCAGACAGTGAACTCTATAAAACCATTAAGGATTGGAGAAACTAATGGAACAAAATAAAACCTGACATAAAAGAAATCCATCAAGATAATTTCTGGCTCAGAAAATACTTGAGCAGTAAAATTTACCTTAATTTGTGGAAGTATGCCATGGGAGTACTGCAAATTACCACATTCCTACACTTTTTTTCTTAGACATCAACTCATTACACCATCAAAGACAAAGCACTGGACCAGATGGGCTGTGTCCAGCTGATACATTCTGAAAGCATCTGCATCCAAGTCAGACCTCCAAAAAACAAATTATAGTTTATAGCACAGCCAATGTATGTTATAGTACAAAATTAAGAACCTATGAAGTCAGACAGGAAGATTTTAAGGTCATTGCCACGTTAGGAATGGTTTTCCCAGTTGCCTTCTCTGCCCTGTAACTGCAAGTCACCACGCTTTCAGTCTAAACAAGACGCTG